GTCCCCTCCTCTTTGCGGCGGCGATTCAACCGATTCTGATGTATGCGGCATCAACCCACCCGGGAGCGGCAGTCATAGCCTACGCTGACGACATCACCGTGGTGGGGCCACGCGAGGTGGCCTTCCAGGCTTTCGACGTCATCGTCACGGAGCTTACGAAGTGCGGGCTCCGTTGCAACATCGCGAAATCTTCGGCGTGGGGACCGGAGGGGCACGGGGAGGGACTGGAGGAACCGCCGCACGGCCTGACAGTGAGCCCAGACGGCATCAAAATACTTGGCAGCCCGATCGGCACCCCAGCCTACTGTACCGCTCAAGTCCAACAGGCGTTAACCAAGGCAGCGGCTCCGGTACCACTGATTGCACAGCTTCACCCCCAGCACGCTCTGCTCCTGCTCAGTCGCAGCATCTCACGCAGGATCTCATACCTGCTCCGCACAACCCCGAGTTGTACACTTGAGCGGGAGGAGTGGAGGGCGTGGAGCGAGTCACTGCTGGGGGCGGCGCTCGCTTTGGCCAAGCTCAGAATCCCCTCAAGCGAACTCGAGCAGAGCCTCCTGTGGCGGCAGGCGACACTGCCCATACGCCTTGGCGGCCTGAGCATCATTGACCCAATCTCTGAGGCCCCGGCGGCTTACATTGCTTCGCTGACGGCTGCCCATCAACTGCTGAAGCAGATGCACCTGCCCGATTCGGACCTCCTCGCCCACGCGGAGACCATACTCTCCAGGGAATGGGCTCCTCCCCCGCCAGCGGTGAACGTGATTGCGGCGCTGGAGGAGGAACTGCCGTTGGAGGCGAAAACGGCTCTGCAAAGCTACAGGGAAGGGCCACAGGGGCAAGGGAACTTGCAGCTGCTACTCTCCAAGCACATCAACACGGTTAGGGCAAGAGAGCTGCTAGCAGACACGATGGTGGATCGACCGGGAGAGGATCAGGGGCATGGGGTCAGGCTAGTCAGTTTGAGGGGAGTGGGGGCGGGGGATTGGCTTCACGCGGTGCCAACGAGATCTGACCTTACATTTGCCCCTGGTCAGTTCTCGTTAGCACTCGGGTTCCGCCTCGGTATGGCTATGCCAGTTACAGTCAAGTGCCCCTGCAAGAAGGACAACTCTGACATCGACGACACTAGCCTAGCTAACCACCTGCTACGGTGTGGAGAGGGAGGGGATGTGGTACGGACACACAACGCTTTGGTTTATGCGGCCCTGCGAATGGCACGGGAGGCGGGGTTCAACACTTTCCACGAGACCGCGTTTTTCTCATCCCCTGTCCTCCGCAAGCGCGCGGACTTGGCCTTCCAGGACCGGGAATCTGCAGAAACCTGGGTCACCGACGTCACAGTAACGGACCCGGTGCTTCAGAAGCGGGACCCAAGGGTTCGGAAGCCGCCAGGGTGGGCAGCCAAGGAGGCCTCTGAGAGGAAACACCGCCTCTACGAGGGCCGCCCGGACTACGTGGGGTTCCTGGGGCTGGCGGTTGAAACGTATGGGGCACTTGCGGCAGACACGGTCCAGTTCCTCCGTCTGCTGGCCGTGGCAACTGCTAAGAAAAAGTTCAGACAGGGGCCGCTCACTACCACAGCATCCAGGCTCAACGCACACTATCGGCAGCGCTGGTCGGTGATGCTGCAACACTCCCAGGCCATCTCCTTCCTCAACAAATCGAACATGGCAGCGGAAGCGGCGTACCCTCAAGCACCCATGGATCCCTGGGAGCCTAGCCTCGGGGACCTCTGGCAGGTGCTCGACGATGACTTGGCAGGAGTGTAGAGGCCGGGGAGCGGGAGCAGTGGTGGCAGAGGCGGGTAGGCAGGTTCGGGAGGAAAGGGGGCCTGTTGGATGAGGGTGCTGGCACAGGGAGCTCTCGGACGTGGGTTATGCTTGCTTAGGACGGCCTGTGCCTTGTGTTTGCTAGTGTGCTTGTCTTGCCTTCCCATTTGCTAGCATGCCTAGAACAGTCTACTGGCTGTGTCCCGTCCCTGCATGTCTGTACCTTATAAGCAACATAAATGCATGACCGCTTGAGAGAGAGAGAGAGAGAGAGAGAGAGAGAGAGAGAGAGAGAGAGAGAGAGAGAGAGAGAGAGAGAGGCAGTTTCACGCAGGCGTCACTACTTGCTAGTTTCACGCAGGCGTCACTACTTCTGAGCTCCCTGCCGCTGGAACCGGACGACGTGCTGTCCACAGCCAAAAACCACATGTTGCTGCCTAGAGATACAGACACTGCCCTTCACTCCTGGCTGACGGAATGTGCAGCGGCGCTGCCCCTCGACGCGAGGGAAATACTGGAGAAAGAGAGGCTAGAACCAACGGGGATAAGGCTGCAGCACGCCCTCTCAGTTCAGGTTCAGGGGAGCAGATACGCAAAGCAGGTCCGGGAGTCTCGCCACATGAGACCAAACCCGCTCTGCGGTCACACGCAGCGCCTTTTCTCCCTCACTGGCTACGGGTCTGGCGATTGGTTGCTGGCGATACCGATTGAAACCACGAGGCGGATAGGAAGGGAGCACTTTGCAAACGCGGTTCGTTTCCGGCTGGGCCTGCCTTTCGCAACACCAGCAAAATGCGATTGCTCGAAGCACGTCGAGATCACGGACCCGAGACTGCCCAACCAACTTTTTCGCTGCGGTACGGGGAAACACAGGATCAACACGCACAATGAGTTGAGGGACGCATGCGCCAGCATGGCACGAGATGCAGGCTTCATTGTGCACACAGAGTCAGCAGCCTATTGCCCAGTGGACGAGCAGACGGCGGATCTTACGATGATGGATCGGAGCTCGGGCGCGGTCTACATTTGCGATGTAACCATAACGGACCCGATCAGTACCCGTGATAAGACGGCGGCGAAGGGCAGGGGATGGGCAGCGAGGGAGCAGGCGGATAAGAAAATCCAACACTACGCTAGCCGGCCTGACACGGTGGGATTCTTTCCCCTGGCCGTGGAGACGTACGGGTGCCCATGTGCGGAGGTACCGGTCTTCCTGAAATTGCTGGCGGATTTAGCTGCTAGGCGACACTTCAACGCGGAACCTAACTCCTATCACGCAGCTAGATTCCTCCACCTCTTTCGGCAGAGATGGTCAGTAGCGCTGCAGCGGGCCCAGTCGGTGGGTTACCTTATGAAGTCCTGCCAAGCAGCCCTGGCAGAGCACCCACCGGTTGGGGGAACGCAACACGAACTCCACCTCGGTGATAGCTTTACAGTGATTGAGCCCCTAGTGGAAGTTTAAAGGGGGCAGGCCGCAGGTTCCTTGTTAGTTTGTTTGGTTGTTCTTAGGTTAGTCTATCCTTGTTGTGTATTTGATAGTCCTTGCTTTTGTGTACCTCATATGCTATATCAATGCACGGACCATTAGAGAGAGAGAGAGAGAGAGAGAGAGAGAGAGAGAGAGAGAGAGAGAGAGAGAGAGAGAGAGGGGTCCTCTGCCCTTAGCCCTCTGCCCTCTCTGTTCCTTAGTATAAGAGGTCCCTCTTGGCCTCTTGCCTCTCATTATTCAGTTGGGTGGCTGATTTTTTTCGCTCGCGTCGTCCGCGTTCGGCGGCCGACGCTCGACAGCGCGGCCTTCGGCCGCGCGCTAGGGACGGCAAGGGAGAAGCAAACAAGCGACTATCGGCAAGACATACAACGGAAGTTGGCCACCAATGCTGCTAAGACAAAGTTCAGGCGAGGCCACAGCAGCCCGGCTCAATGCTCACTACCGCCAGAGATGGTCGGTGATGCTGCAGCGAAGTCAGGCCATATCACTTCTGTCCAAGTCCAACCGCGCGGCAGAAGCAGCCTTCCCTCAGGCAGCGGCTGACCCATGGGCCCCACGGCTTGGGGACCAATGGCAGATGACCACAGATGAATATGAGGAGCGTGAGGCTCCTGCCAGAGCGGCTTAGAGGTGCAAGGGGGAAGCAAGTGGGGCGTATGGGGTGGAGAGGCAATAGCAGGGTTACTCGGGCTGGAGAGGGGGAGAGGGAGGGAGGCTATCGGGGGGACGGGTGTGGGGGCTGCTGGTCTGTTGGTCTCCCTCAGTGCTCGGGGACTAGGGTGTACACACACACGGTTTGCCTGCTAGGCTGGCTCGGCCTGCACTGCAATACTTGTTCGGTTTTGCTAGTTTGCTTGCATGCGGCTGGTTTGTTCGTTTGTTAGCTCTTGGTACCTGTGTGCCTACATGCTTAGATAGACTAGCTATACACTACCCTTGCCATCCCTGTACCCCATGACCACTATTAATGCATGACTGCTTGAGAGAGAGAGAGAGAGAGAGAGAGAGAGAGAGAGAGAGAGAGAGAGAGAGAGAGAGAGAGAGAGAGAGAGAGAGAGAGGCTCACCCCTTAGCCTCTCCAGCCCTCTCCAGCCTAGTATAAAGGTCCTAGGATCTAGTCCTGGAGCCTCATTGTTTAGTTTCCGGTTCGTTTGCTCTCCTAACCGAGCGGGAGAGAGAGGAGAGAGAGAGAGAGAGGCTCACCCCTTAGCCTCTCCAGCCCTCTCCAGCCTAGTATAAAGGTCCTAGGATCTAGTCCTGGAGCCTCGTTGTTTAGTTTCTGGTTCGTTTGCTCTCCTAACCGAGCGGGAGAGAGAGGAGAGAGAGAGAGAGAGGCTCACCCCTTAGCCTCTCCAGCCCTCTCCAGCCTAGTATAAAGGTCCTAGGATCTAGTCCTGGAGCCTCGTTGTTTAGTTTCTGGTTCGTTTGCTCTCCTAACCGAGCGGGAGAGAGAGGAGAGAGAGAGAGAGAGGCTCACCCCTTAGCCTCTCCAGCCTAGTATAAAGGTCCTAGGATCTAGTCCTGGAGCCTCATTGTTTAGTTTCTGGTTCGTTTGCTCTCCTAACCGAGCAGCTCGCGCCGGCCGCCTTCGGTGGCCGGCGCTCGACAGCGCGGCCTTCGGCCGCGCGTGAGAGGTGGCAAGTACAACCATAGCAGCACTACTACAGCTAGCAACGGCATACACACATGGCAGAAAGACCAACCTACTAGCAAGGCCATGGAGCAAGCACAAGCGGAGGCTACATCTGATCCGCGTCATACACAGCAAGCAGCCCCGACATCGTGCGATGCAGCTCTCGCACAAGCACCGTGCCTGCGGCGATCGCCCCGGATCCAGTCCCTGCATGCAACAGCCCACGCACGGCCGAACCCAGCGGCCCGACCCCCGCAAGCCCACCCCGCGCGGGCGCAGCCAATACGGGCGCCAACAGCTCGGCGAGACGATCAGCCGCCGCGAGACAATCGTCCCGAGGGCCGCCCACCAGTGAGTCGCCCTGGGAAAGGGCGGCGTGACCATTGCACAAGATGTACGACCCGCAGAGCCTCCGAGAGGCGCCAGATCTGAACAAGGGTCATTTCCGGAACCGCAACCGTGCGCTGAGGCCCCAGCAGCGCCTGGAACGGGTGCGCCGCACCTACGGACGGGGGAGGGGGTTCCACAGGCAGCAGGGACGGATATTGCACAGTCACGGGCCCCCCCGCCGCGGTCAAAAACTCAACCCCCGCAACAGGGGGTACCCACGGCAGCTGGCGGGGATTCCCCGGGACGGGGGTTGAAGCGGCGTGAACAGGAGGAGGAGGAACAACCGGAGGGGGACGAGGAGCAGCCGGTGCAGAGGGCGCAGTTGGAGGAGCCGCTACTGGGGTCTGAGCAACACGCGGGGAGTTGCTCTGGCTCGCCTGCCCGTTCCGTTCCTCGCGCACAGCAGCAGATACCACGCGCTGCAGGTCAGCCATTGTTACCGGCTGGTCATACCCCCAGCCGCCACCCCGCTGACGCGACCCCCACCAGCCGCCTCGGCCGCCGCGTTGCGCTGCCCAGTTCGCCTGGGAACCGCGGCGACGAGGGGAATTGTGGCGGCGTCGGGACGTTTCGCGCTCGTCCTGCCGCGCGGGGGATTGAGGCCGCTGTTGACGACGGCCAGGAGACGGCGGACGCTGTGCAGGCAGCACAGGGGGATTTGCCATCGGCGGAGCATTTGGAACGGCCACGGGCGGCGCGGACAGACCCGCCGCAGGCGGAGCAGCCACTGGCGGCGCAAGGGGAGCAGTTTCAGGCGGCGCGAGAGGAGCAGCCACGGGCGGTGCAAGAGGTACAGCCTCAGGAGGCGCGGGAGGCGCAGCCACGGGCGGAGCAGGAGCAAACCCCGCCAGCACAGGCAGGGGAGGCACAAGCGCCGGAAACGGTGCAGACGGGGGAGCTGGAGCGGCGGGTGGCGCCGGCTGGCCCAGGACGTCAGTGGTGGCGGACCCCACCGACTGGGCCGGCACGCCGCCATCAACAATCGCCCGCTCGGCGGCCGCAGACGGAGCGGCGGGGTCGGCAGCTTGAAGAGCGCCAAGCGGAGCAGACGCAGCAGTTGGCACACCGAGAGGGACAGGCGGCGCGACGGGAAGAGGCGCCGATAGTACAGGAGCCTGGCGACCACCGTCGCCAGGCTGAGACGCCAGCGCTTCGGGCAACGACGGTGCGGGGCGAGGAAGGTTTCCAGCGCATTCTGTCATGGGCTTCGGAGCAGGAAGTGTTGGGGGGCCCGTCGCCATGGTCCCCGTTCCGGAGGCAGGCGGAGGCATTCCGTACGCAACCGACACAGCGCCAACGCGCATTGGCGAATAATCGGTCGGCCCAGCAATCACCATCAAGAGGCCGTGGAGGACGAGGCAGAGGGAGAGTGGCAGCTAGCGGTGATGGAGGTGGACCGGAGAATGGCTTCCAGGCGGCAGGGAGACAGGCTTAAACAGCTCTAGAACGGGCTAATGAGGAGGAGGATCGAGGTGACCCTTCTTATAGGGAGGAGCCGCTGCCACTAAGTGAGAGTGACGAGGAAGAATTTGTGGAAGCTGAGAGTCCAAGGCCTCGGAGGCAAGCTGCCGAGTTTGAGACGGGCATGGAAGGAGGAGTGCCACCGGCGAATCGGACGGCTACGATTGCAACCCCTGGTCAGGAGGGAACACCAAGGCGCCCTCAGAGAAATCAAGCCGCGCGCAATGGCAGTACAACAACAAATCAAACACATTGCCCCCGCTACTACTCGCCAGGGGAATTGGCGAAGCGAACAGACCTGTTCGCAGTCATCGCTGATTGGGACGTGGCGGCCCTCTGCGACAGTCGTCAACCATCCCTGTCGCGCCGATTACCGCCCAATCTATGTCAGCTGTTTTCACTGGCATTACTCACCCCGCTCCTTCATCTCGCGCAAAATCAAGTTTCGGTCGCAGGGTGGCGACTACTTCTATTTCTGCCGCGGCTCACACTTCGCCAAACGTCGCCGAGAAGACCGAAGTGGCCCGAAGTCAAAGCTCGTCTCAGAGCTTTCCAGCGTGGCGAATGGGAGCAGCTGTATTCTGACGCAATCGAAGCCATCAACACCCCACCGCCTCCACGTCACCAGCCTGACGAGGCGGGAGTACTCAGCAGGGCGGAGGGCCTAGCAAAACGTGGAAGTCTACGCCGAGCCGTGCTGGCCCTCGAGTCAACCCCGGTCTGCACACCGGGTCCAGCAATTCTGGATGAACTCCGCGCGAAACACCCACCAACCGACATCGAGCAGCTGAGCTGGCCAACAACACCTGGCCCGAACCTGCAGATCAGCCAAGCTGACTTCGCCAAACTTTTAGGTCGATGCGAAAATGGTGTTGGGGCTGGACCGTCAAGAACCGCATTCGAACACCTGCGCGACGCATCCGCAACCAACGCATCGGTCTGCACCCACCTGCATGCCCTAGTTAACACCCTCCTAGCAGGCAAATTACCCGAGCCAGTGGGGGACCTGCTGACAGCCTCGCGCCTAATCGCGCTGTCCAAACCAGGGGGGGGGGTCCGGCCAATTGCAATTGGCGAATGCCTGACGCGCCTCGCAGCCAAGGCAGCACTGACAGCAATTGGGGAAGCTGCACGTGACCATTTCCTGCCACTACAGTACGGGGTGGCGGTACCAGGGGGAGCCGAGGCCAACATTCATGTCGCACGTTCCTTCGTCGACTCAAGAGACTGCTGCGTGGTGTTACAGACAGACATTTCAAATGCCTTTAACAGCATTTCGCGCCAGGCAATCATTGACGGGTTACGCGACAACAGCCTTTCGTCATTGCTCCCACTGGTCCGGCTTACGTATGGTAACCCGTCGAAGCTGTACCTCGACTCGAACTTCGCTAGCGACCCTCTCAACAGCGAACGCGGCGTGAGGCAGGGGGATCCACTCGGCCCTCTACTGTTCGCAGCTGGGATACACCCAGCCCTTCGGGAAACTGCCACAGCACACCCACAGGTACTCTGCTTGGCATATGCGGACGACGTCACATTTTTGGGGGACGACAAGGACACTGTAGCAGCCTTCACTCTCTTCACCAGCAAGCTAGCGCAACTGGGGCTGAAACACAACCCACAAAAATGTGCTGCCTGGAGCACAAACGGGGACGAGTCAACCCAACTGCCACCAGGGGTCCCGTTTTCGAAGGACGGGATACGCCTACTCGGCAGCTTCCTGGGGCCGGCAGCTGGCGCCGCCAAATTCCTAGCAGGGCAACTAGATGAAATGGCGAAGCCGCTGCCGCTCTTAGAACGGGCCGACCCCCAAGTAGCCTCCCTGCTCCTGACCCGCTGCATTTCTAGACGAGTCGCCTACCTCACTAGAACCACGCCGCTAAACCTCCTTCCACGAGACACCTGGGCACAGTGGGGAAGAGACCTTCTAGCCGCGCTCTTGACATCATGCGGGATACGGGTTCCTACCTGTAGCACGGAGCAGACGAGAGTGTGGGCGCAGGCATCACTTCCATCATCCCTAGGCGGGCTGGGAATCACAGACCCACTTGTAGAAGGCGTCTACGGCTTCGTAGCCAGCTTCACACAGGCAGCTCTTTTCTTTTCCTCACTCACGCTAGCACCAGACACCGCGCTGACACAAGCTCACAGCCACATGATTCTTCCCCGTGACAACACCACCCCGCTCCATTCCTGGCTCACGGTGTGTGAGACATCCATACCCACAGACGCACGCGAAATACTTGAGCAGGAGCGGCTCTCTCGGTCGGAAATCAAGCTGCAGCACACGTTAGCCCTCAAAGTCCAGGGTACTAGGTACGCAGTGCAAGTCCAGGATACGAGACGAATGAAGCTGAACCCGCTCTACGGGCACACACAGAGGATGTACTCGCTCACAGGCTACGGAACAGGGGACTGGCTGACGGCGGTACCGGTGGCAACGTCAAGGCGCATAGGCCCAGTACACTTCAGCAATGCCGTTCGTTTCCGGCTGGGTCTCCCCTTCTCCACCCCAAAGCAGTGCGATTGCACAGACCACACCGCTATCACAGACCCGCGCCTCCCCAACCACCTCTTCCGCTGCGGCACGGGCAAACACCGTACGAATACCCACAACGAACTCCGCGACGCATGCATCAGCATGGCGCAAGACGCGGGATTCATCGTTCACAGGGAGACCAACGTGTATTGCCCCATCGAGGAGCAAACAGCAGATTTTACCATGACGGACAGAAGTAGTGGGGCGGTTTGGGTGTGTGATGTGACGGTCACGGACCCTATTAGCACTAGGGACCCAGAGGCGCAGAAAGGCAGGGGTTGGGCAGCCCGGGAGCAGGCAGACAAGAAGATAAAGCACTACGCAAACCGGCCAGAGACAGTGGGCTTCTTCCCACTCGCAGTAGAGACCTACGGCTGCCCGTGCGCCGAGGTTCCCGTGTTCCTGAAACTCCTTGCAGACACGGCGGCTCGGCGATACTTCAACGCCGACTCGAAATCATTTCATGCCGCGAAGTTCTTGCACCAGTTCAGGCAGAGGTGGTCGGTTGCACTGCAGAGGGCCCAATCCGTGGGCCTCATGATCAAACTAGGGGAGGCGGCTGCTGCAGAGAAACCACCGGTAGGAGGGATAGGGCAGGAATTATACCTGGGGGACTGTTTTACTGTCCTGGAGCCTCTTCTTGAGCTGTAGGTGACTTAGAGGGATTGGTTAGCCAAGGCTCCATTGCATGTTAGCACCCTGCCGTTGTTGATTGTATGTGTGTACCCTCCTGGCTTATCAATATACGGACCATTAGAGAGAGAGAGAGAGAGAGAGAGAGAGAGAGAGAGAGAGAGAGAGAGAGAGAGAGAGAGAGAGAGACACCTAGCCTCTGCCCTCTCCCTTTGCCCTCTGCCCTCTCCTCTGTGAGCTACTTAAGAGGCCTTCTTGGCCTCTTCTCCTCATTGTTCGGTGGGTTCATAATTTATCGAGAGAGCGAGAGAGAGAGAGACACCTAGCCTCTGCCCTCTCCCTTTGCCCTCTGCCCTCTCCTCTGTGAGCTACTTAAGAGGCCTTCTTGGCCTCTTCTCCTCATTGTTCGGTGGGTTCATAATTTTCGCTCGCGCCGGCCGCCTTCGGCGGCCGACGCTCGACAGCGCGGCCTTCGGCCGCGCGTGAGGGGACGGCAAGGGAACACGCACACGAGTGACTATAAGCAACGGCATACAAGCAATGGCATTCCCTACGTCAGCCTAGACAAGTGAAGCGACCATGGGGCAACCGGAGCCCGCGTCTACATGCGGTGAGCTCCAAGGGCGTGAAGAACGCCCGTCAGGGAGCGCCACAGCTCCCGGACCACAAGCGTGCTTGCGCCGATCGCCGCGGCTCCAGATCCAGCGCGCAACTGCCGCCTCAGGCCCCGGACAGCCTCGTCAAGCTGTCCCGCAGCAGCAGCGCCTCCCTCCGCGGGCGCAGCCAGCACCGCGAGCTGGTCCGCCGCGTCCAGGCAAGAGTCACGCTGGCGGCCACGGAACGTCTCAGGAGGGATCACAGGGAGAGACGAGTGGGCCAGCACCTGAATCAGCAGCAGAGCATGGAGACTGTCAGCGAGGCGGTGTAGCTGTCCGAGAGTTGCCTCGGGAACACGGGTCTGCGGAGGCTGGAGAGCCTCCGCCAGGAACTGGAGCGGCTCATCAGCATCAGCTGGGAGAGCAAACGGAGCCGCCATCGAGCCGCCACCCGCGGCCACAAACTCCACTCCCGCAACGGGCGGAAGCGGCGGCAGATGGAGACGAGAACCGGGAGCAGATGCCGATACAGCGGGAGAAGGAGCAGGTGGCGCTTGGATCTGAGGGGGAGGCGCAGCAACAGGCTGCAGGTTCGGAGGGAGAGCAGCTGGACGGGGAGCCTCGTGGGCTGGCAAGGCGCGCAGCGAACCGCTCTGGCTCTGCGCCGCCCTCTCCTCCCGAACCGCCCTCGACACTTCCCGCTGGAGATCCGCCATCGTCACAGGCGGGCGATACCCCCCACCCCCGCCAAAAGCACGGGGACCCCTCCAATCCCCCTGACCCCCGGGGTGAGCAGGCCAGTGCGACTGTTGCTGGTACTGCCGTGGAGACTCACGCCGGCGACGAGAGGACCTGCGGTCCTGATGGTGAGCGGGGGAATGGGGGTGTGACGAGCGACGGTCAGGCGACGGAGGGCGCGACGGCTGGCCTGCAGGAGCCAGCGCCATCACAGCAGGGGCGGACTGGCCCGCCGCCGCAGGCGCAACAGACGGAGCCGGCCCGCCAGTGGTGGCAGACGCCGCCTTTGGTGACGAAGCAGAGGCCTGCGCAGGCAGGCAGGGGACAGAAGCGGTCGGCGCAGCAGGGGCGCCAGGGACAGGTGCCGGGGGTTCTGCAACACCCCCAGCAGGGGCAGACGCCGACGGCTCGACAAGGGGAGCCAGGGGGCCGGGTGCCGCAGGCAGAGCAGACGGAACAGCAGCGGGAGCGGACGGTCCTGCCTCCGACCCAGCAAGGGGATCCGCGGGTGCGTGGGGAGGAGTCTTTTCAGAGACTGCTGTCACGGGTTTCGGAGCCGGCGGTAGAGGGGGCTTCGTCGCCATGGTCGCCCCTTCGGGCTCCGCCGGAGGCTTGGCGACCACAGCCGACCAGGCGGCAACGAGCTCTGGCGACGGCTCAGGTGCTCCGGCAATCACCATCCCTAGAGCAGGGTAGCCGCGTGGCGAGGAGAGAAACCGTAAGCGGAACAGGCGGAGGGCCAGAGAATGGGTATCAGGCGGCGGCGCGTGCGGCTTTAAACAACGTTGAAGAAACTAATGATGAAGATGAGCGGGACGACCCATCTTATAGGGAAGAAGCCCTCCCCGAGAGTGAGGAGGAGGAGACGGAGGGGGAAGGCATGGCGAGAGAAGGACCAAGGAGAAGGGAAGAGGTGGTGCAGCAGGCGGAATTGCAAGCACCAATGATGACACAGCCACCATCCGATGCTGATCGGACGGGTGCAAATCCAACTGGGGGCCCACCAATGAGATCGATCCGCGCTGGGAGAAATCGAACCGCCAATGCCGGTACTGCGGCGCGCCCACCAGCGTCAATTCCCCGCTACTTTTCACCAGACGAGCTAGCGAAGCGGACAGACCTGTTCGCAGCCATTGCGAACTGGGACATTCCAGCACTCTGCGATAGTCGTCAGCCTCCACTGTCGCGGCGTTTACCGCCAAACCTGTGTCAGTTTTTTTCGCTCGCGCTACTGACACCGTTACACCACTTATCGCGAAACCCTGATTCGGAAATGGGATGGCGCCTGCTGCTGTTTCTCCCGCGCTTGACGCTTCGCCAAACTTCGCCACAACGCCCGAACTGGCCAAGTGTCAAGAGCCGGCTCCGAGCTTTCCAGCGTGGCGAATGGGATCAGCTGTACCAAGACGCGTTGAATGCAGTCAACACACCGCCCCCGCCAAGACATCAACCAGATGTGACAGGTGTCATCAGCCGTGCAGAGAGCCTGGCGAAACGTGGCAGTCTGCGCCGAGCCGTGCTGGCCCTCGAGTCAACGCCTATCTGCACACCCAGCCCGGAAATATTGGAGGAGCTACGGCGAAAACACCCACCTGCCGCAGACGAGGCAGTAACGTGGCCGGAGCCGCAGGGGTCAAAACTGTCAATCCCCCACCCTGACTTCGCAAAAATGTTGGGACGATGCGAGAATGGTGTCGGAGCCGGACCGTCAGGGATGACATTCGAGCACCTGCGCGACGCGGCGATCACCAACACTATGGTCAGCACCCATCTGCACGCCTTGGTCAACACCATGCTGGGAGGGAAATTACCTGACTCGGCTGCAAACTTGCTGACGGCGTCGCGACTCATAGCCCTGGCCAAGCCAGGGGGAGGGGCCAGGCCAATCGCAATCGGCGAATGCCTGACGAGGCTGGCAGCGAAAGCCGCCCTGTTAATCATGGGAGAACCGGTCCGCGATTTCTTCCTACCGCTGCAGTATGGGGTGGCAGTTCCAGGTGGAGCAGAGGCAGTGATCCACACAGCACGAGCCTTCGCGGATGCCCGCCCGAACAGCCTGATCCTACAAGCTGACATTTCAAATGCCTTCAACAGCATTTTGCGAACCGCCATCGCCAACGCGTTACACGAACCCGCCCTCTCGCCAGTGCTGCCGCTCGTGAAATTGACCTACGGTAACCCGTCCCAATTATTACTGGATTCCAACTTCAACAGCGAACCACTCACAAGTGAACGTGGCGTGCGTCAGGGCGACCCACTTGGGCCGCTACTGTTTGCAGCAGGGATACACGCCACGCTTCGAGAAACGGCCAAAGCACATTCTGACGTGCTGTGCTTGGCGTATGCGAACGATGTCACCTTCCTGGGTGACACATCCCGCACTGTAGCTGCATTCACACACTTCACGGCCAAGTTAGCACACCTGGGCCTTGAGCATAACCCACAGAAATGTGCTGCCTGGAGTTCAAGCACGATCGACGCAGATTCCCTTCCGCCAGGAGTGCCGTTCTCTGAAAATGGCGTGCGGCTGCTGGGTAGTTTCGTGGGGCAGGACAGCGGCGCAGCCCAGTTCCTAGCGGGACAACTCGCTGAGATGTCAAAGCCCCTACCCTTACTCGAGCGAGCGGACCCCCAGGTTGCAGCACTGCTACTCACGCGCTGCATCTCACGACGAGTTGCTTACCTCGCCAGGACGACGCCACTCCACCTCCTCCCCCGGGATAAGTGGAGCCAGTGGGGTAGGGATCTGCTTACCACGCTCCTCACATCGTGCGATATCCGCTTCCCGACCTGTCGAACCGAACAATCGCGGGTCTGGGAACAAGCGTCGCTGCCACCATCGTTAGGAGGCCTCGGCATCACTGACCCACTAGTCGAGGGGATTTACGGCTTCATAGCAAGCTTCACTCAGGCGGCACTCTATATTAGCCCCCTATCGCTAGAACACGATAACGCCCTCGCACTAGCACAGAACCATATGCTACTGCCGCCGGTTGACAGCACACCGCTACACACCTGGCTGACCGAGTGCGAGGAGGCACTGCCGTTAGATGCGCGGGAGATTCTGGAGAAGGAGCGGCTGGAGCGGTCTGACATCCGGCTCCAGCATGTGCTAGGACTCAAGGTCCACGGAAGCAGATATGCAGTCCAGGTGCGGGCGACGAGGCGTATGAAGCCGAATCCGCTTGCAGGTCACACGCAGCGGATGTTTTCACTCACTGGCTACGGCACAGGCGATTGGCTCACCGCGATTCCCATCGCTCCCACAAGGCGGATAGGGCCAGTGCACTTCGCCAACGCCGTATGCTTCCGTCTTGGTCTACCGTTTTCCACACCCATAAACTGTGACTGCGCAGAACACACGGCTATCACTGACCCCCGCCTCCCGAACCACCTGCTCCGCTGCGGCACAGGCAAGCATCGCACAAACACGCACAATGAGCTGCGCGACGCCTGCGTTAGCATGGCGCAAGACACGGGGTTTATCGTACATTGGGAGTCAGCGGCCTACTGCCCTATCGAGGAGCAAACCGCCAACTTCACCATGACTGATAGGAGCAGTGGGGCGGTTTACATCTGCGATGTTACCATCACTGACCCTATCAGCACCAGGGACCCGGGAGCACAGAAGGGCAGGGGATGGGCGGCACGGGAACAGGCCGACAAGAAAATTAAGCATTACGCCAACCGCCCAGAGACGATTGGCTTCTTCCCCCTAGCAGTCGACACCTACGGCTGTCCTTGCGCCGAGGTGCCTGTCTTCCTCAAGCTCCTGGCAGACACAGCGGCTCGGCGCCACTTCAACGCCGACTCAAAATCCTACTATGCCGCCAAGTTTCAGCACCAATTCAGGCAACGGTGGTCGGTGGCCCTGCAGAGAGCACAATCCGTGGGACTCCTCCTTAAGTTGGGCGAGGCAGCAGCGGCAGAAAACCCCCCTGTGGGAGGCATAGGGCAGGAGCTGCACCTTGGGGATTGCTTCGCGGTAGTTGAGCCTTTTCTGGAGCTCTAGAGAGGGCGGTGGTGTGGTAGTTGAGTGACTGGTTGGTGTTGTTTGTTTGTTTGGTTAGCTAGACCTTGCCATCCATATCTTGCATGTCTGTACCTTCCAACTCTATCAATATACAGACCATTAGAGAGAGAGAGAGAGAGAGAGAGAGAGAGAGAGAGAGAGAGAGAGAGAGAGAGAGAGAGAGAGAGAGGCATAGTCCTAGTCCTTAGCCTCTCCTTCCCCTTCCTCCCTAGTATTTAAGGCCTTGCTGCCTGCCTAGCTCCTCATTATTCAGTTTGAAGTTGGATTCTTACTCCCAACCGAGCGGCAGAGAGAGGAGAGAGAGAGAGAGAGAGAGAGAGGCATAGTCCTAGTCCTTAGCCTCTCCTTCCCCTTCCTCCCTAGTATTTAAGGCCTTGCTGCCTGCCTAGCTCCTCATTATTCAGTTTGAAGTTGGATTCTTACTCCCAACCGAGCGGCAGAGAGAGGAGAGAGAGAGAGAGAGAGGCATAGTCCTAGTCCTTAGCCTCTCCTTCCCCTTCCTCCCTAGTATTTAAGGCCTTGCTGCCTGCCTAGCTCCTCATTATTCAGTTTGAAGTTGGATTCTTACTCCCAACCGAGCGGCTCGCGCCGGCCGCCTTCGGCGGCCGACGCTCGACAGCGCGGCCTTCGGCCGCGCGTGAGGGGACGGCAAGGGAGAAAAAGGGACAAGCAACTATACTTCAAGACATACAAGCAATGGTATCACCTACACCAGCCTAGGATAACACACGGCAACAACATGGCACAGGAAGAGGCGGACGCTACATCTGATCCGCGTCAAGGACGGCAAGAAGACCCGTCAACGAGCGATGAAGCTCGCGCACCACCACAGTGGTTGCGCCGATCAAGTCGACTGCAGTCCCTGCGCGCAAAAACCGGCGCAGCCCACGGACTGCCGTCCCAAGCTGTCCAACGCCCGCAACTCCACCCCGCGCGGGCGCAGCCAACACGGGCGCCAGGAGCTCGCCCAGCCGATCAGCGGCATCTAGGCACTCGTCCCGATGGCCACTGTCCAGAGGAACACCCTGGGCGAGAGCCGCGTGACCATACACCTGAATCAGGTGAACAGCCCGCAGGCCCTCAGAGAGGCGCCACAGCTGCCCCAGAGACGCCTCTGGGACCACAGCGGAAGGAGAGGGCCCCACCAGCGACTATTGAGGTAGCGGAGCAGTTGGAGGAGGGGGATCGACGGGCAGCAGAGATGGATACGGACCCGTCAAGGGTCCCCCTGCCATAGGAGGAACCCACGGCAGGCGCATACGGCTCCCAAGTGCAGCAGCAGATGCAGAGGGAGCATGAGGAGGAGGAACGGCCGATTGGGGAAGAGGAGGCGCCGGCGCGTAGGGCACAGCTGGAGGAAGAGACGCATGAGTTGGAGCGACGCGAGGCGAATTGCTCTGGCTCGCCTGCCCGTTCCGCTCCTCGCGCACAGCAGCAGAAACAGCTCGCTGCAGATCGGCCATCGACACCGGCCGATCATACCCCCAGTCACCACCACGACCGCGCCCTCCCCACCAGCCACCGCGACCACCGCGGGACGCAGCCCAGCTCGCCTGGGGACCACGGCGCCGGAGAGAGTCGCGACGCCGCCGCGACATCTCTCGCTCGTCCCGCGGAGCCGGGGAGTGAGGCCGATGATGCCGGCGACCCGGAGATGGCTGACGCTGAGCAGGGGGGATAGCAGCGAGCGGCGCAGGATCAGGCACCGCCTGGAAATTCGGGAGCGGCACAGAAATCGCCGCAGCCGGAGGGGCGGGAGCTTCAACAGGTCCCACCACGAGGGACTGGCCGGCAGTGGTGGCGGACACCGCCGGTTGCGACACCACCGGCGCGGCAGAGCCCACGGCGGCAGCCGGCGCAACAGGGGCAGCGTCGAGTGGCGGGGCGCCAAGATCGACGGGAGGAGACAGAACAGCAACATCAGGAGCAAGGGGAACCGGGGCAGCGACAGGAGGAGGGGGAGCCGGAACAGCGGCAGGAGCAGGGGGAGCAGGAGCAGCGGCAGGAACCTGTCCAGCGGGAGCAGCGACAGGAGCAGGGGGAGCCGGATGCTGATCAGCAGCAGCAGGGGCCGAGGACACAGCCTTCAATGCGGGAGGCAGCGGCGGCCTCCGGGCAGCAGTCTCAGAGGCAGCAACAGGCAGGGACCTTCCGCTCACCGCTGACGCAGCGGCAGCGGGCGATGGCGTTGGCCACGGCTCGCCGGCAATCACCATTGCGAGGGAGAGGATGAGGAGCGGGACGGCGAGAAGGAAACGGGGTTGAAGGGGGGCCGGAGAACGCGTTCCAGTCTGCAGGGCGTCGGGCTTTAACACTACCAGATACTGAAAGTAATGAGCGGAATGATCCATCTTATAGGGAGGAGGCACGTGAAGAGAGTAGCGGCAGTGATGAAGAAGTCGAGGAGGAAGAAAGAGAGCAGTCGAGAGGGAGAAGCGGGAGGAACCAGAGGGGTGCAGTTGGACAACCAGGTCCAAGGGTGGTCCAGAGGGAGGACGAGGGTGAACCGCACGATGGCAATCGTACGGTTGGAATTCCAACCCGGCCGGCCCAGGGAACATCGGGTCGCGCCAGTACAAACCGGGCCGCACATCTCCAAACCAACGCGCCTCCACAACCACCCCGATATTTTTCGCCAAGCGAACTGGCGATGCAGCAGAGTCGTTTCGCTGCAGTCGCGACTTGGGATCTCGCGCCTCTCTGCGATAGTCGTCAACCCCCGCTGACACGCCGCATTCCGCCAAATCTTTGTGAGCTGTTTGCGCTGACTTTGCTGACGCCACTCCTACACCTGTCGCGGAACCCAAATTCCATTGCAGGTTGCCGCCTGCTACTGTTCCTCCCACGCCTAATCCTGCGCCAACCCTCACCAAAGCGTCCTGACTGGGCCAAAATCAAGGCTCGGATTCGATCATTCCAACGTGGCGAATGGGACCAGCTCTACACCGAAGCCACAGAAGCTGTCAACACGCCACCGCCGCCACGTCACAGACCTGACGAAACCGGGGTCATCAGCAGAGCCGAAGGCCTGGCAAAGCGGGGGAGTCTGCGTCGGGCCGTTCTGGCCCTCGAGTCAACGCCAGTTTGCACCCCCAGCCCCGACATTCTGACCGAGCTGCGTCGAAAACACCCGCCCGCTGACACCGAGCCTCTGACTTGGCCACCCCACGACCAACCGCAAAGCCTGGCCATTTCTCACGCTGACTTCGTCAAATTGCTGAGCCGCTGCGAGAATGGGGTGGGGGCCGGCCCGTCTGGCACCACCTTCGAACACTTGCGCGACTCCGCAGTAACAAATGCGTCCGTCTGCACACACCTGCACGCATTGGTCAACACAATTTTGGGGGGGAAGCTTCCCGAGCCCGTAGCAGAGCTGCTCACGTCGTCACGCCTGGTAGCGCTGGCCAAACCAGAGGGAGGCGCAAGACCCATAGCGATAGGCGAGTGCCTGACTCGCCTGGCGGCAAAGGCGGCTCTGACGGTCATGGGGGAAGCTGCACGGGAATTCTTCCTTCCGTTACAGTACGGCGTGGCAGTACCGGGAGGAGCGGAAGCAATCATACACACAGCACGTGCTTTCACTGATGCAAGGCCAGATTCACTGATTTTGCAAACGGATTTGAAAAACGCGTTCAACAGTATCTCACGGCAGGCGATTATAACTGCCTTACAAGACCCGTCCCTGTCGCCTCTGCTGCCGCTAGTTAAGCTAACATACGGACGGCCGTCGCAACTACACCTAGACGCCGGCTTCGCTGCAGGTCCACTTAGCAGCGAGCGCGGGGTACGCCAAGGTGACCCCTTGGGGCCTCTACTTTTTGCCGCTGGCATCCACCCGGCGTTGCGAGCGACAGCAGTGGCCCACCCAGAAGTTCTGTGCCTCGCTTACGCGGATGATGTCAGCTTCATCGGCAACAAAACTGAAACGGTTGCGGCTTTCAAACACTTCACAGGCCAGCTAGCAGGACTAGCAAATGCGAAATGTGTGGCATGGAGCGAAACTGAGATAACCGACGCGAGGGAGCTGCCGCCAGGGGTGCCATTCACACGGGAGGGAGTTAGACTGCTCGGAAGTTTTTTAGGCACCACAGGCGGCGCTAGCTCTTTCCTAACGGAACAGCTACGGTCGATGGCGAAGCCACTCCCGCTACTCGAACGCACGGACCCGCAAATAGCATCACTGCTACTCACACGATGTATTTCGCGACGGGTAGCTTACCTGACGAGGACAACCCCGCTCAACCTCCTGCCCGGCGAGGCATGGTCACAATGGGGCCGAGATCTGCTCGCCACCCTGCTAGCCGCATGCGACATACGTTACCCTTCTAGTGAGGCAGAGCAGACGCGGGTTTGGGAGCAGTCTTCCCTGCCGCCGTCACTGGGCGGGATTGGCATCACAGATCCCACCGTAGAGGGCGTGTTCGGTTTCCTTGCTAGTTTCACGCAGGCGTCACTACTTCTGAGCTCCCTGCCGCTGGAACCGGACGACGTGCTGTCCACAGCCAAAAACCACATGTTGCTGCCTAGAGATACAGACACTGCCCTTCACTCCTGGCTGACGGAATGTGCAGCGGCGCTGCCCCTCGACGCGAGGGAAATACTGGAGAAAGAGAGGCTAGAACCAGCGGGGATAAGGCTGCAGCACGCCCTCTCAGTTCAGGTTCAGGGGAGCAGATACGCAAAGCAGGTCCGGGAGTCTCGCCACATGAGACCAAACCCGCTCTGCGGTCACACGCAGCGCCTTTTCTCCCTCATTGGCTGCGGGTCTGGCGATTGGTTGCTGGCGATACCGATTGAAACCACGAGGCGGATAGGAAGGGAGCACTTTGCAAACGCGGTTCGTTTCCGGCTGGGCCTGCCTTTCGCAACACCAGCAAAATGCGATTGCTCGAAACACGTCGAGATCACGGACCCGAGACTGCCCAACCACCTTTTTCGCTGCGGTACGGGGAAACACAGGATCAACACGCACAATGAGTTGAGGGACGCATGCGCCAGCATGGCACGAGATGCAGGCTTCATTGTGCACACAGAGTCAGCAGCCTATTGCCCAGTGGACGAGCAGACGACGGATCTTACGATGATGGATCGGAGCTCGGGCGCGGTCTACATTTGCGATGTAACCATAACGGACCCGATCAGTACCCGTGATAAGACGGCGGCGAAGGGCAAGGGATGGGCAGCGAGGGAGCAGGCGGTGTTGGTGCAACCCTACGGTTTGCACTCGGCTTGTTGTCCGTGTGCGTGAATGTGTGTGTGTATGGAATGGTATGAGGGCATGGGATAATATATATTTCATGCTTATAATTGTGTGTGAATGTCGAGTCATGATGTCGAGTGTGTGTGTCGAGTCAATAGCGAGTTATCGCTAGACGCGTGTTACGCGGTCGTTTGTGTCTCGCGCGCGGTTTCTATTTTGTCGTGCGCGGTTTCTATTTTGTCCTGTGTCGAACGTTCGGCGTGTCGCAGGTGTGTGCAGCAGACCCATCAAGAACTCAAGGATGAGTTTGTGATGAAGAGCCCGAGCCTTGGTGTCAAGCCTCAAGTGATTTCGAAGCTTGCCAAAAGGGTACACCTCAAGATATTGAAGATAGTTACATTACTTTGTGTAGTGTAACATTTCACTTGGTGTAGGCCCTAGTGAAGGGTAGTTTCGAGACCCTTCGTGGTTGGGGACAGTGTGGCACTGTTCCACATCACTGTACCTCGGCTCTTGGGGTTTGTAGGAGCTGGGAGTCATTCCCAACTCGTAACTCTTCCTATCTTGTGTTCTAAGACTATAGTGGCTGCCATAGTACCGTTCGTTCAAACCGACACCGCGTCGTCAATTCTTTATCAAATCGTGCAATCTAAATTGCTAATTGTAGACGACGGGAAGACGCTCCATATCCAATTTGAATCAAGTCATTTGCAGCTGTGAGCAGAACGCTATCAACGTTTGAAGCCGCTGTGCAGAAATCCGTCTGTGCTCTCTATCTTTCGTTTTAGGCACATTCAAGCCTATTGTGACTATAACAAGTGGTATCAGAGCCCCTTGGAGCAGTTTCGACAATGTCTGGACCTGAAGAAAGGGGTGGCAGAGGTGCTGGTGGCAGTGGAGAAGCTCAAGCTCAAGGCCAACCCCGTGATTCAGCCATGGCGCCCATGCAACCAAGTCTTGGCCCACCTAGGGATGAGCCTAGGGTGTTTGGGCTTGACAAGTTCAACGGTGACAACTTTGCTGAATGGTCCTTCAAGATGGAGAACATCTTTGACCACTATGACCTGCTGGAGGTGATGGAAGGAACGGAGAAGCGCCCCGAGAACGACCCGGAGAAGAGCCCGTGGGTGCGGAAGAGCGCACATGGCTATCTCTTACTTGGGCAAGCGTTGGGGAGCAGTCAGATCCGTCACATCAAGCCATTCCAGCGTGAACCAGAGAAAGGACCAAAGGCATGGGCTGCTCTCAAGGGTGTACATGCTCCTGCAACAGCGGTGGTAGCGGTGGTGTTGGAACGGCAAATGGCGGCACTACGAATTGAAGAAGACGAAGCGGTTGAAGAAGGGGTGCAGAAATTCTTCGACTTGTTGACGCGGCTTGAGGGAGCTGATTTGAACTACAGTGAGCTCCAAAAGAAGACCAAGTTGCTGGCCTTACTCCCAGAGTCATGGTCCTCGCTCATCATCAACCTTAATCGCGACTTGCCCCGCCTCTCGCTTGAAGACGTGAAGCGAGCTATCCTTCAAGAGGATTTCCGCCGCCGTGAGTTGGCGAGTGCGGATGGCGCTGGGGCAGCGAGCATCGGCCGTGGATATGGTCGAGGAAGAGGCAGAGGACGAGGGGGAGGAAGGTTTGGTGGCAGCAACTTCGACGGAGGCCGCAGGAGTGGCGGTTACGGCAGCGACGACAAGAGCTACGGACGCGGTCGCGGCCGATTCGACGGCGAGTGTCACTATTGCCACAAGAGCGGACACATGTGGCGCGACTGCTACAAACTCCCTGATGGTTGGACCCCTGCTCAAGGCCAAGAGGGTAGAGGAGCAGGAGGAGGGAGAGGACGAGGCCGTGGAGGCCGTGGCGGTCACGGTGGCGGAGCTGCAAACATGAAGAGCGGAGACAACGACAAGGACCCGAGCGACGATCGATACCCGGGTCTATTCTACTTCGTGTCGACGCAAGTACCGGCTGGTCCAGAGAAGGATGAAGGCTTTGAGGAGGCAGCAGCTGTGGGGAAGGTGACCCTACACCCCCTGGACTATTGGGTGATTGATAGTGGCGCTACCTATAGCATGACACCTCGCCCGGACTTGCTCACCGAACTCGAGCCGTCACCGGTGAAGCATGTCACATCGGCTTTGGGGCAGCGAGCAGAGGTGAAAGGCATGGGCAAGGCCATGTTCAAGGGTGCTGATGGGAAGATGGTGGGCCTCAAGAACGTGCTTTGGGTGCCCAGCCTTGCTGCAAACCTGATTTCCGTGCGGCGGTTGACAAAGGCCGGCATGGACACGAACTCGAAGGGAGCCAAGACCTACACCGCAAGGCTTGGCGATCGAATTCTTTGGGACCTTCATGAGGACAGGG